AACTATATATACAATATAACACAAAATGTGTTATTTTTTATGTTACAGCAATAACATCTGTAGTTTTAGTTTCCTGGAATTTAATGGTAAAGAGGAATTAAAGTGCAAAATCTGTAGTTTGAACAAATGGCAAGAAAAATCAAGTCTGTTTCTTTTATTGGCAACTCCTAAATAGTACTTCTGTTCCAATAATTAAAACATGTATTAAGGTGAGGTAATGATTGAAAAAAAATAATTGTGGTGTTTTGGCTTTCTCCTGTATTGGGAGAAAGAAATTCTGAATGTCTGGACACCTATAAATGTAAAAAAATATACTTGTAAAAAGAAGAGGCTGTGTTCTTTCCACAAAGTACAGTTTTGACCCTCCAAACGGAATTTACCCAGGTGTAGCTCAGTACGGGTTTCCTGTTTGGGAAGGAAACCTCCTCAGGGACTAGCTAGGGTGCTTTCATATTGTAATTCTAGAAGAATTCAGAGTTCAACAAGAAAGGGGTCATGGAATGGCAGAGAAGGAAACTACTACATTACCAAAGGTTATTTACAGCCTGTTTCCTAAATTGATCACGATGACAATGGATTAGGAAAAGGTAAATTGTTACAGTAAAAACAAAATGGCATGAGGATTAGCATATCACTAATATGAGATACATTGCTATTAGGTTGTTTTCAACAAAGACGGTCATAGCTTTGAAGCATGGGGCTGAAAAAAATATAACTGGAAGTATATAATATGTAGCCGTTTCCCTAAATCTGTTTGATTGTAGTTCCACTGAGTTCCTTAGAAGGAGAAAGGACACTTTGTGTACCCTTTCCCAGCTTCCTTCAGCTAGCATTCCAGAGCTGTGTCTGTAGCAATTTTGTTATAAGGAGAGTAACGCGCACACAAGATGTGCAGAGTGGAGTAGCTATTGATTGAGAAAACCACACAAAACAATTATTTTAGATCCACTGGAAAGATATCAAAATCTGTAGCTCTTAATGGAAAGCAATAAAAAAGCTAAAAAAAAAAAAAAACAACCCAGGTTTTTAACTTCTACAAAATGCCTCATCAAGCTGCATTTGATGCATTAAAACTGGCACAAGTTAAAGGCTGAAGTAATTATACCCATTTGCAGTCTAAGGACTGCAAATGGATACGGTTGAGCATAAATTTATTTAGCTGTAAGAACTGCTGAGAATTACAGCATTTTTGAGATTAACATAAAATCAAACTGTGTACTAGTGATTGAGCTCAGCTAACTGCAGAATTATCTACAGAAACATAGGAGAGAAGGATTCTTTGCCTTACAAAGCAGTTTCAAATGGCTCTTTCACTTTGAAGTGAAAACACCCACCCCACTGAAGATTTACAGCATTCTAATAACTCTCAAACAAACAAACAAAAAACAAGGCAGTAACCCTAGTAATAATACTGTGCATTACTTAAAATACTATATTGGAATGTAGAGTTGATGGGGAAAATGAGTGAAGAGAGGAGAAATGGCAATTGATTCCCAAGAATGTGGAAAGAGAGAACAAAAACAACCCTGCTTTGATTTTTTTCCCTTGTTGTATAAGGAAAAAAGGGCTAAGTATTTAGCCATTAATGGACTTAGATGATGGGGAAAATGCAATGGTCAATAATGCAGATTTATCCTGGTTAGCAAAGCCTAAACAATTATCTTCAAGTTTAACTACTTTCATAGGAACTTGGTGACTGGGAGACAGAATTAGTTGATTAAACAATTATAGCTTGTAAACCTGTTGGAAGAAAAGTCTTCATCATGGTTCAGTCCAGTGATGGTGAACCTTTTAGAGACCGAGTGCCCAAACTGCAACCCAAAACCCACTTATGCATCGTCGGGTGCCGAGTGGGTGTGGCCCACTGGGTGGGTGTGGCCCACAGGGTGGGCATGGCTATGGTGGTAACGGCAGACTGGGTGGGACTAAAAAGTTCAATCAATCAATTCAAACTTTGCAAGATCTTTTTTTTTCTCTGCGAGAAGTTGAAATTGACTGATTGAACCTTTTTTTTTTGTACATGGCGGCAGAGGCCTAAAGCAAAAAGGTTTTATAAAACCCAGCTGAAGGCCCAGGACTGGGGCGACGGCGCACGTGCCCACAGAGAGGGCTCTGAGTGCCGCCTCTGGCACCCGTGCCATAGGTTCGCTACCACTGGTTCAGTCCAAACCGTGGATAAACAACATAGTGACTGCTTTAGAAAGAAGGTTGCAGTTTATTGAAGAGGAGAGCCAGACAGAAAGATGGCTCTGGCAGAAAAAAAAAGAGTGAGCACATGTAGGGAGTGGTTTTTTATACCCTCTGGAGCCTTTTGTTTTGAGTAGTTCCTGTGGCATGAACTTTGACCTGAGTCTGAGTGTGTCCTTTGGTATCTCTGTGTTAATCCTATTATGTCCTGTCTTAGAGTTTGGGTGGGGTATGTAGATTTTAGGAGTCTTTGTCTTCCTAAGCTTCTAGCTTCAACCTTCCTGATGGTTTACACCTGCATTTCTATAGAGCTGGTTTCTGCTTGGGGAAGGGAGACTTGGGCTATTAAAAAAAACCTGAGCATGCTTTTCGGCCTCTTTAAGATCCTTTGAGGAAATATATTTTTCTGCCCTTTTAATATTTCCTTCTCTGGGGGGACTGACTTCCCACAAACCCATTCCAGGAGTCAAGCTTCTTAGATGGCACATACCTGACCCCAGTTGCCACATGACAAAATGTTAAGTGGGGGGGGGGGGGTTGAGAAGGAAGTAGTTTAGAAATACTTCTTTAATACATGAGATTTGTGAGTTTGGGTTGTATCCAAGGCTTCTGTGCACAGAATGATCATTCCCCTAGGTTTTTAAAAAAATTTCTACAATCCTGCTCTCCCCCCAAAAAACTTTAATCCCTGGGGGATTATGTCGTCCTTTAAATAGTGGGTGCAGTATCCTGCAGAATTGCAGTGAGGGGAAAGGTGGGAAATTTTAGGGTAATTCCATGCTGTGCAGCCTCAAATGTTAGATTTCATTATTCAAATGAAAAGGAAGGGAGGGAGGGAGGGAGGGAGGGAGGGAGGAAGGAAGGAAGGAAGGAAGGAAGGAAGGAAGGAAGGAAGGAAGGAAGGAAGGAAGGAAGGAAGGATGGAGCTGCTTCAATCACTGAAGTAACTCCAAGGTTGTTTTTAGAGGGAAGCGTGGGAAATCTATTGGCATGAATTGGTATTGTGCAACAACTGGATATAACACTTTTGGCATAAACATGCGTTATTTGTTTCAACAAAATGTTAAATTGATGTAAATGTGGCCAATTTTAAATGCAACCCCAAAAGTTGGGAAAGCCTAGTGTTAACCAGTTGTTTAACAAATTACACAGTTCTGTCTGTATTAGACTAGTTTATGTGAAGGACATGTCACGAGGACTTTATATTTCTGTCTTATATAACAACAATGAAATTGAACTTAAGGTTTTAGTCAGGACAGTCCTGAAAAAGTAACCTTTTCTTCTAGTCCTTGACATTTATCACAGCATTAGAAGAGATGTTTTTTCCATCATTGGTCGATGTGTCCTTGGACATGTCATTTACTTCCAGCTCAGCTTGATATTCCATAGTAACATGCTTTAGATCATGTCAAACCTCAGAGTGCTGTTAATGACAACTGCTGAAATGCCCTCTCCTTCTTTTGAACACTACAGTGCATGTAAGAATTCTAATACTAATTAGAATTCTAGCATGCTCATTCTGACATAATAAGTACAAGGCTGCCTTATATACTGAGACCTGTATAAATTAATTTAATGGTGTTATAACTGGCAGCACCTGGTCAATCTTGAAAAGTTACACAGGATCAGAATTCATTAAGACTTGGAGGAAACTATCAGGAAAATCCTGGGCTCCGGGTGATATTGGAAAGTCAGCAAAAAAAAAGAAGACGACGACTTAGCAAGAACAAATGTCAAACCACTTGGCCTTGTAATCACCAGTCTTCCTGGTAATTAACTTGGTATATTAACTGAATCCCTTTAATGCTTGGAAGGGGGAATCTTACGTCTCTTCCAGATGTTGCTGAACTACTAAGAATGCTTTTCCAGTATAATGTGACTAGGCCCCCATGACATCATCTTCATTTCTCATACACTGATATGAGTTGATATCAGTTGTACCCATTCCTGGATCAGGAGGATCTCCAGACTAATCGCCTCATAGTTGGAGTAATGCTGTACATGGGGCTGCTCTTGAAGCTCACATGGAAGTTAGCTAGTTCAGAATTCAGCAGCACGGGCAATGATGGTCCTGCCTCAGTCTGCCTGCATAACATCACTACTCTGTAAGCTGCACTGGTTGCCAATGAACCTCTTACAATTCAAGATGCTGCTTATCATCTATAAAAGTAGGTTTATGTCTATCTATTAAGAGTAGGCAGAATTGAAGTGTTTCGCCTACCAATTAAACTGTGCCATATATTGAGACCCGGATATTGCCTTTTAAGTTCTGGTATTTGCCCCCTGAAGCAGAGGTCCCCAACCTTTTGGGCACCGGGGACCGGTTCCATGGAAAGGTTTTTCCACGGACCAGAGGGTGCGTGGTTTTGTGTGCTGCCTGCATCCCACGGATGGGGCTTTGCTTGTTTGTGTGGACCGGTTGCTGGTATGCCGCGGCCCGGTACTGGTCCACAGACTGGGGGTTGGGGACCCCTGCTCTGGAGCACCATACCATACCCCCAGAGATCTATGTGGCTCCCACCATGACATTCTGTAAGTCTTTTAGAATTTGGCTGTTTTTCCTGGTCCTAGGTGGGATACAGTGACTGCTGAATCCCTGTCTGGTGTGGTTTTTTATTGTTTGTCTTGTCTGGACATATCTGAGTGTTATATCTTCATTTTTCTACTCTTTTAAAATGTAAAGCCAAAGTCACTTTGGAGTTGGATGGCCTTTAAATTTAACAAATAAATAAAATATATACAGAGACCAGTAAAACCAATATGGGATGAGGAACTTACAGTTACAAGAATAGATGACAGGAAAGAAAGCACACACACACTTACACAGTACTTTAGAATTATACACAATAACTAATAATTCACAGAAGAAATAAATGACTGCAGCAGGAAAACTAAGTAAAAACTAATACCATCAAATGTCTTTAAACAAAGTAAGATGTTGCCTGTTGAAAAATGAGTGAAAAAATAAGGTTCTCGACACTAGACACAGTTTTTAATCCCTTTGGTTTAAAAAAATGTTCAAGAATGAAAAAACATGTTTTGAAAGAATTGCACCAAAAAACCACGACTTAAGTTAGCATTATCTGTATCAGAAACATCAGTGCTTATATATCCCTTAGAAGGAGATGCCAGATGCCAAGAGATGCAAATTTGGTGAACCTTACACCATGCGTGGGAAAACCTAAATATGTAGCATGTTGGTTAAAATAATCAGACTCTGTTATTATCTGAAGTTGTATTGTTAACATTATTAAAATAAACAGTGTGCTTTTATTTTATAGTTGGAAGTGGCCCAAATATTTTTCATCTCCTTGGATACTGGGTGAATCTTGGTCAAGGGACACAGTGGTACCATTGTGAGCCGTAGAATTTGTTTTTTTATATTTGCGTTTGGCGTTTCGGACTTTCTTGATGTGATTCCTGAAGCAGCATTTGACCGAGTATTTGAAAATCAAATAGCTGAATTCAATTATATTTAAGGCTATGCACAAACAGGATGTCACCACCACAATGTACAGGAAAATTTTCTTCTCAGTAGGCTTGGATATATAGCAATCAACTGTGTTAGGACAAGGACTTGTGTCACATTGCACAAGGCGGGGTACATCAAATCCTCCATACATCTTGTAAAACAAATAGAGGAAACCTATTTCAAATCCAGTTTTGGAAAGGAGGCTGATGAGATAAGTGCAGAGCAAACCCCCATCAATACTTTTCAGGTCCTTATACAGCTTAGTTTGGTGTCTCTTTTCCCTGCTTTCTCGATAAGCAACATGGAGAACAACTAGAAGTGATGGTGTAGAGACCATGATCAGTTGCAAGGCCCAAAGCCTGACTTGGGAAATTGGGAAGAAATGATCAAAGCAGACATTTTCACAGCCAGGTTGTCTGATGTTACACTCAAACTCCTTCTGTTCATCTTTCCAGACATGTTCGGCAGCTACAACATAGACAAGGAGGCGAAATATAAACACAATAGCTAGCCAGACTCTGCCGATTTCCGTTGAATATTTATTTACACCACTTAGAATATCTCGTAAGAATGCCCAGCTCATAGTTTCTCCTTCAAGAATGCCAAGGAACTGTAACAAAACAAAATATGAACAATAGTGTGAACATGTCCTCTTTAAGCAAATAATATATATGGGAGGTAGATCCAGAATATAAAAGAGTATAACCAATGTGGGAATTATGTTAATAGGTAGATTTTTCAACAGCATTTCAAAAACAAAATAACATATAGGAACTCCAAGTACTAGAATCTCTGGGTCAAGATGGGAGAATTAAAGAATTTGTTTATGTACAAGACAAAACCTAGATGTTGTGTGTATAACAGTAACCTATGAAAAAGGCAGAATGGGTTGGATGTGATAATTCCTGGATGTAAACTTTATAGAAAATTAAGGGAGGTGTGCGCTAGGGGAGATGCCACTGTTTAAATAACAAAGGGTATTTAAAGAGTTACCTTGAGGGAAATAAGTTGGGTAGCTGTCAGAGACCAACCTTTAATTCTACTCAAAGGTGCTTTTTCAAAAGGCAACTGGGCTGTTTTTTTTCATTTTAATTCTACTCTTTTACTACTAGGGGGTGCTGTTCTCTCATTTAATAGCACTTTGTCGCTACTTTACAATGCTCTGGCCAGTAATAAAAAGGTGCATTTTTCCTCTTGTATTTTGCTAATATAAAATGCAATTGATAAATTGTAATCCTACTTTAAAAAAAAAAAGTTAAAGTGCATTATCTTAAATAACAATTTTAAATGGCTAAATATGTGTGCCTATGTGTTTAGATAAACCAGCATGGTTTTACAGGCAGTTCTTGTTTAGCAATTGCCTTGTATAATGACCGTTCACAGATATGACAGTGATGAAAAGTAACTTTGCAATCAATCCCCACATTTATAATCTTTACAGGTGTGTAAAGCAAAGAAAAGTTGAAATAAGATTGTAAACATAGTCACGATTTCACTTAGCGGGCACTTCACTTAAATGACTGAGTTGCTGGTCCCAATTGCAGTAAACAAGGAGTACCTGTAAAATTTACATAGTGATAGTGAGAATGGTTCAAGATGCAAGAGTTTAAAGATGTCAGGTGCTATTAAACCAACTACCATGTTGACACTCTTTCCTCTCAACCAAGTTAGTAGAAACAGCTTCCAAGCTTCAGGGGAAAGAAGATGGGCTTTTGAAGCACTTTCCAAATCGAAGTCTTTTTAAAAAATAAGGACAGAAAGGAATCAAGCTACATGATTGATTGTCTCATTGTTCAAAACCTTTGAGATATTATAGCTATGGGCTCCTTTCACTTATAGTTTATTTATTTATTTAATTTAATTTATATGCCGCCCTTCTCCCGACGGGACTCAGGGCGGCGCACAACATATTTAAAACCAGAACATATATACAATCCCCCCCTTAAAACCGAATTAAACCGAATTTTAATGTTGCGTCTGGTAGGTTGACTCAGCCTTCCATCCTTCCAAGGTCGGTAAAATGAGAACCCAGATTGTTGGGGGGGCAATACGCTGACTCTGTAAACCGCTCAGAGAGGGCTGTAAAAGCTTTTCAACCTTTTTACAGATTGTACCACTTTTAGGCTATGGCAATATTCAAGTACCACCAGTCGCCTAGTAAGGTGTCAAAAACTTGATGACCAAAAAAAAAAAAAAGGAAAAAAGTGATAAAGTACAGGTAATCCTTGACTTACAACAGTTTACTTAGTGACTGTTCGAAGTTACAACGGCACTGAAAAAAGAGACTTAGGACCATTTTTCACACTTATGACCATTGCAGAATCCCCAGGGTCATGTGATTTACATTCGGATGCTTGGCAACTGATTCATATTTATGATGGTCACAGTGTCCCGGGGTCATGTGATCCCCTTTTGCAACCTTCTGACAAGCAAAGTCAATGGGGAAGCCAGATTCACTTAACAACCATGTTACTAACTTACCAACTGCAATGAGTCACTTAACAAATGTGGCAAGAAAAGTCGTAAAATGGGGCAAAACTCATTTAACAAATTTTTCACCCCTCCTTTTATATCCTCTCCTCTCCCCCCTCCTCCTTTTCTCCTCGCTGCACCTCCAGCTGATTTCTCTCCTCAAGGCTGTACTTCTCCATCTCTCTTTCGCCATCCCCTTCTCTTCACCCCCCAATTCTTTTTTTTTTCTTGCCTCTCCTGCCAAAACCTGTTCCTTTTATAGCCTCTCCTCTCTCCTGCCTCCTCCTATTCTCTTCCAGGTGCACTGGAAGCACCAATCCTGGAGCCTCTGTCTCACCCCTGCAGCACTGCAGAAGTGCGCACCGATCCTGGGGCTTCTGCACAAGTGCCGATCAGCATGTAGCTATACCCTCCGATCCTGGGCCTTCTGCTGAACCCTGCAGCTCCAGCTGACTCTCCCTCAGGCTTGTGCAGTGCTGCCGCCTCTTCAGCTCACTTGTACACTTGTCTAGGCCGGTCCCGCTGCTCATGGCAGGAGGCCACATGGTGCTTTAGGCCGGTCCCGCTGTTCATGGCAGGAGGCCGCACGATGCTTCAGGACGGTGCTGCCGCGAGCGGCAGGAGGTCACACATCATGTTATTTTCGGGGTAGGTCTTACTTTCAGGGGAACACAGTATTCTTCATCCATGAATAGCCTGGCTATCTAGGCTATCCCCCAGTCTGTAACTTGGGGGTCCTGAATGGCTCCTACTTGAGCACCAATTGAGATCATGACTAAAGAGACCTTTGCCCAGCTGATGAATCAATTATGACCCTACTCAGACCAGAAAGTCTTGCCAACGGTAACTCATGCCTTAATCACCATACAATTTGATACTTCAGTGTCCTCCATATGAGACTGTATTTGAAGAGTCAACTCTGCTTGAAATCTACTTTATTGGTTGGAAAGAATCTTTTAGTGATGAAGGGATTTTATTGTGCTTATGATTTTAGTATGTTTAAGTTTGACATTAGCATTTATTTTATATATAGTAACCATTTTATATTGATACTTATAGTGTTATCATGTAATCATTGTTTTGTTATTTTGTAATCATTATTTTGTAGTTAATTGCTTGATTAACTACAAAATAATGATTACAAAATAACAAAACAATGATTACATGATAACACTATATGTATCAATATAAAATGGTTACTATATATAAAATAAATGCTAATGTCAAACTTAAACATACTAAAATCATAAGCACAATAAAATCCCTTCACTGAGATTTAAAAGGCTCTCCAAACTACAGAGCAACAAATGTTAATGTGTAATTTCAAGGCGTTTTTAAAGAGCCATCACAGAACATTTTTTATAATAAAGTAAAAGGGAGAGAGGGAGGAAAGAAATAAAGTCAAAGTTGTTTAGAATCTCAAATCAATAAACAACCATTTCTCATAAACTGAACAATGTTTTTGTTGTTTATTTACTTAGATTCTAAAGTGTTTTGACTGATTATATGCCACCAAGTTTAGCACAATTATCTGGCACCAAGTCAACCACAAAGATAGCATTCTATTATTTACATTCCATTTTAGAAGAACATATCTACATATTCTTTAAGATCTCTAGAAAACATACTTACCTTCAGAGTGGCAAGTGGTTGTCAAAGCAGCAGAATTCAAGAGCATTAAAAATTAATCTTTCATTTCCCAGAAAGTCACCAGCCTAGAAAATGGAGTCAGGTGGTTTCCTAGGCAGTGTAATTCACGTAAGTGCAACCTGATCATTTGTTCTAGTATATTATTCAAAAGAGAAACTAGCCTGTATTCTATTTGCCAGCGCAGTAGTTCCTCATTTGCTGTTTTCTTTCATTTTCAAAATAATATTATTATGGACCAGAGTTGACACATAGCTTGGAAATACCTGAGATAAACAGTAGCTGAGAGACAACTGTCAGACTTGGACTTATTGACCTATTCTCAATCAATAATGACCTCTTTTGGTGGTGAGGAGTCACTGCAGCCAATACTGCAATATAATATCGCACATTATTCTGTTGCTAATCTCCCATGTGTTATTTTAATTCTATAAAAAACATCCATAGTGAGTGACAAGGTCGTGATGCCTTTATCAGGCTCAATTTTCAAATACAAAAGTTTTCGTTCCGCAATGCAATATTTGAACTTAATTGTATTGCTTCACTTTTGTATCACAAAATGTTGAGGTAACTACAATTGGAATCTTCCATTTAATTCACTGACGTTCCTATTTAGCAGAGGTATGTGTGGGTGCGTAAAGTCCAAAGTCGAAATAAAGTTAATTAAGAAAGTCACACGCTGCATTAGGAAACTTTTTTCTTTAGATGCTCTGGCCTTGTGGAGGAAAAAAAAGAGAAAATTCTATCCTATCGAGCCAGATCTCTCTCTATATGTATATGTATATGTATATGTATATGTATATGTGTGTGTGTACATCTCCATTTAGGAGAGAAAACAAGTCAGGCGAGAACCTGAACTGTACAGGTTAGAGTCCAAAGAAAAATAAATGAACTGAGGGAGAAAGACAGTGATGGAAACTCTGGGGAAAAAACCCCCATCAATCGAATCAATAAGAGACACGTAACATGAAAAGTAAGTCATATAGGCAAGAATGGGCAATAAATTGCAGAATCCTTCAGGTAGCTCTATAGTTAATGTCAGTAGTTTTCTAGGGGCCAGTCAATGCAAAGTTGAACTTCAATGTGTTTAATCATGGTTAGTTAAATAAGCCACAATTAGCTGTTTCACATATACTAAACAACAAATAACAATTTATACACAAGTGTGTTCTTGTAGCAAAAGCCAAACCATAATATGGTTTAGTTAGTGCAATGGGCAATTCTAAAGTCTGGGTTCAGCTTTATGGCTAGAACAGGCATGTCAAACTCGTGACATCACGTGACATCGCACGACGTATCGGAGCTTTTTCCCCATTGCCGGCAATGG